TGCACCCGATGTAAAAACATATCGTTTTTGTTTTGTAGAACACGTACACGCTCTTCCATGCGTTGCAATGTTCATTCCAAACATGCTGTCCAATACACACACATGAACGCTTTGTTGAAGCCACGTGTTTTTTCATATGTGCAAACATGGTGTTTGAACACGATGTTTGTTTTCTTCAGATTGCTTCTGTTGTACGGATTACCGTGCCGGACCATTTTCTACGTAGTTCATAATGATTGCGCACTCAAGTGTTTAGACAGCATCAACATTTTATGGGATTTTTTCAAAATATTCCGTAAACTTACAGCTCTAATGCACAGGAGGTAATATTTAAAGTGGTAAAATTTCAAAAATGTTGTTGAAAATTAACAAATATAACTTTAAGCGCAGAAGTAGACACTGTGTGGAATTTGGTGCTTGTACGGTATTTTTCCCTCACCTTTGGTGGTAAGCTCCAACTCGGATTAACTTTTGATCTCGTCTCTGTTTGGATGATCTGCGATATATTTGCTTAGATTCGTGTTGATTAAATCTGATGTCGACATCAAAGCAGCCGGATATTGATTATCAGGATTTAATCCGAGGATAATACCGGTTGGAGCTTACCACAACTTGTGTCAGTTCGAGATAGGCCCGTTCGTGATTCAAATTTTACGGGTAGTGCCCTAAGCCAGCCAACCAATTTGCATTAATTTATTTTGTTCATCGCACGTTTTCGAAACAAGAATGATTTTGGTAATAATTACTGCAAGGCTGCTAATCGCAGTTAAAAAGAATTTTAAATTGAAATGCATTAAGCATTTAGCTTGTTGGAAACAAGACGACTCACGCTACTTATCGATGGACTTAGATTTGTAGCTTTCAATCCAATTTTGTTTTCTAAATCTGAAACATGATTACCGCTTACATTCCAATTTTGAAGGTGAATCTGTGAAAAATGCCCGCCTGATTTTTGAATGGTTTTACGAATCGCACTTCGGGGTGATCACATTCATTATTATGCAGCACCTTTTTCGATGAGTAACAGTCGGTTAAACATTTTACACCAAGTTCTTGAATAGCTGCGATACATCATCAGATCGGAAAAAAAAACTTTTCCTTAACATTGAATTTCGTTATTTTTCCAGATAAAAATACATTGAATTGAACAATTAAAAACAGAGAGCTTACGTATTTAAAGCACTATGCAAAAATATAAACCATAATAATGTATTAAAACTTTAAGTTTCAAATATTCATCAAGCCAAACCTGTTAGATTGTTAGATATCGGTTGTGAAATCTAATCTGGTGTTACTTCGTTTCGGTGGTGAATAAACGAACAGTTATACACAGAAAAAAAAAAGTTGTTGAATATTACATCCAAACTGCTTCAACCAGGTCAATCCATCGGTTGTGTAATATAACGTTGTACGATGTACATCGATTTTGCGAACAAAATTACATCGATAGATGCAATATTGTATCTGCTTTTTGCTATTACATCATTATTTCATACATCAGCTTGAATTACATTGATCGATATTACATTTTTTTTTTGCTGTGTAGCGACGCAAAATTTGCCTTAGATAGATTGCTGTGTGTCGTACACGTCTCTTATTGACCTTTCTGACGTTTATAACACGCACACTTGCGTAATCCAATTTTGAAAAGCGAAGTTTATTAACCTCACTTTCGCTCTTGCCAAAAATGTAAGTTTGAATTGTTATCCTCACTTTCGGACCATCAATACTCGCACATATCGAATGAACAATACGTTTATACCAATGTATTCATTTGGAAATCTTATTATCTGGTAGAATACTTTCTTTATGAAACAATATGACTGACACAATCGCACTTTAACTTTCTCTGTAATCTCTATTATTAGCAAATATTGATAACAAATCCATGTTCTCTGTATATTTTGGTACCAACTTAATACATATAGTCATCCACACACATATTTGTAAACTCAATAGCATTAAATTACACACAATGCATGCAATTATAGATAGAGCTGGAATTAGGGCTTAACAGCATTAGTAAACAATGACTTCTCTCGAGGATTTCTCGAAAATCATGGCTCTTCCTGGCAAATCGACATCACCATCGAGTAGGGGAATACTTCTTGTGTCTTGAATGACAAGAAATCATTGAGAGAAGTCATTGTTTACAAAGGCTGTTACGCCCTAATTCCAGCTCTATCTAGAATTTTAGTTCACCGAGAAATGCCTTCAAACATTCGCTGCACTGTTGTTGTTTGAGACGTTGAAAACACAATGTTCAAACATCATGTACAAACATTGGACGCGCCCACATGTGTGATACATGTTTGAACACAAGGGTAAAAAGTTTATGTGTATGTGCAAACATGAAAGGCAGCAACACAGCGAAAACACGTTCATCTTGAACACAACGTTGTATGTTCAATACCGAAGACTGCATCCATGCATGCAAACATTCATACATGTAAACTTCCTTTTCACGTAAACTAGCAGCTTGCAAGAAATGTTGCAAACAAAAGTGGACAGTTGTATACAATATATGGAATATTGCATGACATGTCTCATAAATTTACACGATCTATAATCTAAACTTGTATGATATGTGACGCTCCATTTATGTGCATCATAGTAACGGAAATTTACACTACTTTTTTTTAGCTGTGTAGTTACGCCCTCATTTTTATGACAATGAATTTTAGGGTGGTTCCTATTATCATTAAAATAATAAATCTAACTTTTTTGTTTGAATAAATTAAGGTATACATTCTTTGGCAAAGTTATAGCTGAGCTAATTTCAAGCAACTTTGTTGGAATTTTTTTGATTTGTTTCTCTTAAATTGGCCGATTTAGAGCTATTTTCTTGAAATTAGCTCAGCTATAACTTTGCCGAAGAATGTATACCTTTATTTATTCAAACAAAAAAGTTAGATTTTTGATTTTAATAATAATAGGAACTACCCTAGAATTTATTGTCATAAAAATGAGGGCCTAACTATAAGGAACAACTTTGTAGAAGAGACTTTTAGTCTAAAGTTTCAATTTCAGGCTCAATACATATCATTCCACCTAAATCTGCATTCTGGACCACAGTGCAATGCTAGATCGCTATCCGAGACTTCTGGTGGTAGGTCGTAAACTCTCATGTACTGAATGGTGCCCCCAGCAGGTTACATGCGTACCTCGACTGACTTCCCATTGGCATAATGGAAAATTAAGTGTTCACAGTTGTTTAGCAAACAATAAAGCATCTCGAATCCTCTGATTCAAACTTGATGAACATAGATTTTTCCTCCGCTATACGTTATGTAGCGATCATCTGAGTGGGATCCGCATACAGCGATTTTCCAAGTTTGCAATGTCTTCCATTGTTGGTTTCCCCCGATCCATGTGGGAAGCTAAATCTGATAATCAGTATTACTTCCACCGATATCGCCACTAGTTGTTTGCTTCCAACGGGGAAACAGCAAAAGCGAACGAACTTCAATCAATGAGTTGCTATCGAAAAACAGACTATCGCGTGACTCAAAAACCCACACACACAGCTTGGAGCAAACTGACACCTAGATAATTTAACAGAAGTCCAGAAAACATCACAGAAACCCAAAGAACTTGAGGAAAATTTTGGGAACATTAAAAAAAAAGTTCCAATCCAACAAACAATTTGAGCTGGTTTAAGGCTGAATAAGCCATATTTCAGCTGAAGAAGGAAATATTTGCCTGAATAAGTTCTTATTATGCTAACAATGTTTGTTGGGAAAAGCTTCAGGAAGCTTATACATATTTAGGGCAGTTCCGATAACTTCAGAGGAGTTCCGTGAACCTATGGAAAGTCTAGACTGCTGGGGCGGTTTAAAGGTTTGTAAGGGTGAGTTTAAAAGTTTAGAAAACTGTAGACATAAATATATCTAATTGTTTATTTTACTAAAGACTTGAGAAATCATTAATTTCCATTCATTTCAGAGCAGTCTTGGAAAGATTAGAAAAAATGCGGAAACTTTAGCAAAGATCAGAGAACTTCAAGGCAGTTCCATTAGGTTCAGACAACGGCAAACACTTTTAAGAAACTCTGAGACCTTTAGGGTAGTTCAGAATTCTCCAGAGAGATTAAGAATTTTTAAGGGCAGGGCGTCTTAAGAGAAATTTGAAGTACTATAGGAAAATCAGTTTTAGAGTATTGACACTAATTTCAAGAAAGTTGCGGGAACTTGCAAGAAGTTCCAAGGAATTATGGGAAATTTTAAGAAATTATACTGTGATGTTCAAGTTGTGGTTTAAGATGAATCTGTCCACTTCCCTGGGATACCCGGATCTAGCCAATGCAGTTATGTCAAATGACGGTAAATTATTATTTTTATATAGGGTTAATGTCCATAATGTTGGCCAAAGTGCTTCTTACATAAATTTCGAAGGAGAGCATTGTTTTACAATTTTTCACTAGCAGCCATAAATGTCCATTTGTATGACTTACTATGAGCATGAGCATTATTTGTTTAATAATTATGAGCACTATACAACAACTATATAAGTGTGACCATGGATGTACTTATAGCATATCATACAAATAATGCTCATGCTCATAGTTTGTCATCCAAGTGTGCTCGTGGCATAACTCAGTAAATTTTTTGACGAGATTAGAACAAATGAGCGCCTGGTGATCGTTTCGTCAAGACTACCGAATAGAAGAATATACTACACAAGCGTCCAACAATTCAGTACTCGACAGCTGAGTAGCCCGGTACATTTTTAGACGTAGTTCGGTAGTTACGCAATGTTTTTCCAGTGTAATCCTCCTCATGCGAGCAGGCCACCCCACATTGAATCATTCATACCTCAATGCTAAAATTCGTTGTCATCCAGAATGGATTCCCTCCAGAAGCAGCGAAATGCGAGCGCACGGGATCGGGATTCCGTTTCGAAACCCATCAATGCACCATATACAGCAATTGTCTCGGTTCCACAGTTTATTTTTATCCAGCGCGGTAATATGTTTTCTCTCTCGTTGCCTCCACTTTCAGGACCCGGACGCATCCTACGACATTAATGGAAACGATTCGGATCCGATGCCACGGGACAATGGAGACAATAAGCACGGCACTAGATGCGCGGGAGAGGTTGCAGCTGTGGCCTTCAACAACTACTGCGGCGTCGGTGTGGCCTACAATGCCAGCATTGGAGGTAAGCACGATGGTGGTTAATTATTATCAAACTGGTCACAGTTCACCGATTTAGGATAAAACATCAAAAAAGAAAAATGTTCTTGAAATCAGTCAGTTGAGCGGAGCACACCATCCCTCATCGGAGTGGGGTCATCAATGATGATTCGTGGGAAAGAGTTATCTGTATACCTACCGTGGTATCACGGTTCGGTTGGATTTGGCGGTTGATGATTAATTGATTCGGAGGAAATTTTCACGTTTACACGATAAATGACGAATCGGTTCACTGAGCCGTACGAAAGCACGATGCGCTTGTTGGATGATCGATGATGCTGGTTTTTATGTTCAAATTCGATTCGGATGTCTAGGATTTGGAATTTGTGAGGGTGAGAGATTGGATTGGAAAGGTATGTTGTTTGTAATTGGTTTATTTTGGTACAGGTGAAAACAACTGTACTTGAGGTAGGGTAGAGCGCTACTTCGTCGTAATTGCCTATTTTCGTTCTATCGAGAAGAAAACATCGATAAAATCAAAGACAGTGTATGTTTATATACTACCAGAAATCCGGAAATCTTCAGGGTTTTTTTTTCTATTACCTGAAAAAAAAAACCAGGAATTCGCAGGGTATTTCATCATTCTCAGGGAAATAAATATTTATCAAACAAGGGGCCGTTCATAATCCACGTAGATTAAAATTTGATACTTTTATTTATTAATTTATTTAATTCGTCAAGCATAAGCAGACTGCATACAATGGTTTCTATGTTTAACTTACATGCTATGCATTATTTAATTTATTCTTTTGACATAATGATGCTAATAACTTCCTAGTACTGCCTCCCTTTCGTAGAATATAGTAGATGTAAATGAAACACGCTATTTTATGTAAATATAAGTGCAATTTTACATAAACCAGAAGTGTGCAATTAAGCTTAAAATTAAATGAGCGGAGATATTATGCGATGGCAAAAATTAAAAAAAAATCTGTGTATGAATTCTGAAAATAGTAAGTAGTGATCCCAAGTAGCAATTTGGATTTTATGAGGGTTCTGTAGACCATAATTTAGACTTGAAGGATGCTTTATAACCTCGATAAAACTTGAATTGTTACTTGGGATGTCCTAGTAATAGCATTTCTGATCAGAAATTGTGTAATTTACACAAAATTGAGGAATCAGAGTGAAATTATATATTGCCATTTGATTTTTAGTTTATAATTCTCGCGTCACTTACCAAATAGACCAATGTAACATATTCGCAATTTTGAGAAAAGCGAAGTTGAAGTTCGACAGATTATTATGTCAACTGTTAAGAAACAATTGTATTTTGCAATACTATTTTTACTGAAGTCAGTGAATAATAACGTTGCAAATTCAGTCGAAACGGTAATATCACAATTTTACTTTGAATTTCATGCTACAATATAGAAAAAAAAAACAACACATAGGACGTTTTGACTAGTAAACTTGTACATCGGACATGTTACATTGGACGACTTTTTTCTCGATGTCATAATCAACGAGTGTAACATTGGACGTTTTGTTCTACATGATACAAGATTCGCTTTCACAAATTTCAGAATAGCATACCTAACCTAACCATGCCTCGCCTTTAGAAAATGAGCATCAATCATGTTAGGTAGTCCAAAGTAACAATCACGGACCCATCATTTCAAACAATACATTGAACTATTTTTGACCTATGATTACCTTAAATAAATTAAAGTAAATTTGGATGGGTGTTTTTGTATCACATACAATGTTAGAGGAACAATAGTTTGTATCGATTAACTCGATTTGTTTACATTTGTTACTTGGGACCTTTTGAAAAGTTACGCGAAAATATTCTTGCTGCTCGAATGTTGTTCTACCGTTTGTGTTGTGTGGGAGAGACGACGGTAGCGCATGAGCGTACGAATACAAACAGACTGTCGCGTACGACAACGAGTGTAGTAAAAAAGGTCAAGCGTTTCAACCCATGGCTAGGAGGACTCAATAATATCGGTTACATAAGTAATGGGAGGAAAACTTAAAATTTTATGATTATAACAAGTATTTCCTGAAATGAGATTTTGGAATAGTACGGAAAAAAAGGGTACACTGAACTACGAGAGAAACATAAACACGACTGTATTTCTTTGAATATACGTTTGATATGATAAAAACATGAAAGCACACAAATGACAGCTGACAACCACAGTGACGCATAGCGGCGCCGGTGGTGTAGTGGTAACCATGACTACCTCTCACCCCAGAAGGCCTGGGTTCAATCCCAGTCGGTGCCACCGGGATGTTCTGAGGCATAACATCTCTGATCACGCCTTCCTTAGGAAGGGAAGTAAAGCCGTTGGTCCCCGGTTCATGAGTTGTTGGGTCGATAGGTAGGATCCACGTGTGGGAGCTGCCTCTCTGGCGTCGGTAGCATTGGTGCTCAGCACGGAAAACAAGATCGACGGAAAACAGGCGGTTGCATAGTGACACTACCGTGTTGCCAAAGGTTGTTCATTAACACCCTTGCTCATCCACTGCAACTCGTCATACCAATAGCAGCTTGATGCTTTTGGAAAACTGCCACCGGAGACCCTTTGTCATCATGCCATTTGTTGATCAGACGATGGTAGAAACTGCTTCGTCAGATCCCGTAAGAAATGGAATTTCACATCTACGTGTTTGAACCGTCCAAAATCCTTCGAATTTTCGGCAACCCGTATCGCAGACTAGTTATCCTCGTAGAATGTCGTCGCTACATTCGGTTTACTCCATAAATCTTCTAGCAAGCGAATCAACCACATTTCGTGACATGCTGCTGTACACAATGCGGTTAGCTCTGCTTCTGTTGATGAAAGGGAGACTGTCTGCTGCTTGCAGGCTATCCAACCAACTGTACACGGCGAATGAGAACGACTCAAATTTGAGTTTAGTTCACTCATAATCGCCAAAAGTGCAGGAACTCAGCGATGAGTAAAATTTGTCCCATGGTTTCCTGTGGAAAACCTAAAAAATCTGCCGGAAAATGAGGAAATTGACGAAAATTTTATTCAGTCTCGGAGTAGTACCAATAGACTGAGTGAATCCAATCTTTACTTTTCTCAAATTCGGGAATTTTTCCCTGGAAAAACCTGGGAAAACATGAGGCAAATTAACTCATCGCTGAGTTCCTGCACTTTTGGCGATTATGAGTGAACTAAACTCAAATTTGAGTCGTTCTCATTCGCCGTGTAGCTTCAAACACTTTGAATAGACAGTCACTAGGGTAGAGAGCTACTTCGGCCTAATCGCCCATTTTGGGCCTATCGAGCAGAAAACATCGAATAAAACCATGATTTCAGCGTTAACAAGTCAATTATGCGTTTGGTACGATACTTCTGTTCAAAATCTACCGAACGAAGTCAATAAGAACGTGTGATATGAATGTTTGCACCCATTATTCTCAAAAACAAAAGAGGTGCTCTATTGTTTTTTACCGAATCAACGGGCAACGGGCGGGTTGTGCTGAGTAGGCCCAAAATTAGATCCAAGCACACACTTTCACGGCTGGTACATCATTCACGGTTCCTTTGATGTATCGCACAATCCTTTTGAGATGTAACCAGTGAACTTTATTTGGGCAACTCTGAAACATAAAGTTCACAGCACCTGCCAAGTCAGGTCTTGTCGTCATTGCCGCATAGGTTAAACAACCTACGGCTCTTCTCCTCCACTCCTTTTGGCAATTTAAGAAGATGTTCCAATGGGGTTGAGATCGGCTTACACTCGCTCATTTCAAATCTCCGCAAAACATCTTCGTGATATTGCTGCTTACTTATACGCATGACTCCGCTTTCTAAATCGTAGCCTATCTTTATTCCTAAAAAGTTTCTGATGTCATCGATGTCGGTCATTTCGAATTCCCGATGGAGAAGATGCTTTACCGTTTTCACTGCTTCGAGAGATCCTGCTATGATAATGTCATCCACGTACAACTTCTTCTTCTTCTTATTCGCATTTCAAGCTTATTGCTTAGCGCATATTAGCTTATTGCGTGCTCTCAACTTAGTGTTCTAAATGCACTTCCACAGTTATTAATTGAAAGCTTTCGATGCCAATACCAATGCATGAATTTGTATATTGTGTGGCAAGCACAATGATACTATATGCCCAGGGAAGTCGAGAAAATGTCCAACCCGAAAGATTCCCTCGACCGGACCGGGAATCGAACCCGCCGCCTCCGGTTTGGTAATACCGTGCCTTTACTGACCAGGCTATGAGGCCCCATGATCCACGTACAACACAATTATCAATATCTCCGATCTGATCTGTCACGTGTACAGGCATTGGTCGTTTTTACTCTTCCGAAATTTTAGCCGTTGCTCGACGAAATATTGGAACGGAAATATCCACGCACGTAAAACCTGCTTCAACTCATAGATAGATTTCTCCAGATGACACACTAAACCTTCTCCTTGCTCGAAGCCTTCCGGTTGCATCATTTAGATTTCCTCCGTTAACGTTCCGCTTAAGAATGCCGTCTTTACGACGACCAACTTCCCCCGGTTTGCCAGTGCCAACACAGTGCGTATGGTATCCAGCTTTGCAACTGGGGAGTATGTCTCACTGTAGTCTATCCCGTACCTTTGACTGAATCCTCGAGCCACCAAACGTTCTTTATACCGGTCTGGTGCTCCATCCACGGCACGCTTCACTTTGAAAATCCACTTGTTGGTAATCGGTGTACGATTCTCTGGGAGCTTCGCCAATTTCCACCTTCCGTTCTTCTTCAAGAAATCCATTCCCTCACAGATGGCAGCCTGCCTCAGGCTTCTACGTCGTGCTTCCGCTATGGAAGTCGGGAGATTTTCAACATAACTTGTTGCATCCAACACGAACGCAGCATAGTTCACTTCGTAGTCTGCATGCCAGGATGGAGCGTTCCGATTTCACTGTGATCTGTTTTACTCACTACTACTCTGATTTGTTTCTCCGTTTGACCTATTTTCACGATTTTCCTCCACCGGTCCTTCGCCAGAATCCGGCCCACCA